TCCAACATGACTTAAAATCACCATTCGTACTGAACTTCTGAATGTCGGAGATCGAATATACAAAAATGATTGAGATATTTATGTCGCGCAGTATATACATTACAGAGAGAGAGAGAGAAGCATTATTATGCGTTTGACTCAACCGGAGTCAAATCAAGCCTTCAGAGATCTTGCTCGCATTATCTTTTCTGAATAAAGTTTCTGAGTTTCTGGATTACAGATCCACGAGCCTTGACCATAGCCGAAATCTGTACACGTGGAAGCAAATGGCGTTAACATCCTCCCTCCTCCTGTATCTCAGTTTGGAGACACAAGGCAGGAAAATTACGGCATTCACATATGGAAGCAGGGACTATGTCTAGCACTTTGGGCCATCATGTATCAGCACGGAAGGCCGAATCTTGAATGATGAAGATACAGCCCTCTGTCGTGTCTCGCTCATTGCTCGCGGATCTCGCGGAGGCTTTTTGGACATATCCGCGGCTTCGGAAGGAACCGAATGGACCCTGAGCAATCGAGGCGCAGAAAACCTGTCAATGTCTGACTCGACATTCAGGCACAGCGCTCGTGCATCGCGGATGGCGGCTCGATGCCGCGTGTAAGGCCGGGCTCTGTGCAACGACGCAGCAGGATTCAAGCTCTCCCCCGTGAGTAAACTGGCCATGGATGGCGTTGGCACTTCGGTGGTCTCGGAGACTGGGACTTCTGTGTCAAGAGACAGAGCGGCCGCAGCCGCGATTGCTGTCCGATGCCTGCCGGCCACACGAGACTTGGACAGCGCATCTCTTGCCATCGAAAAGCTTTTGACCGGAGGGAGTTCTTTTGCTGAAGGAAGCAGTGGTGGCTTCGAAGTCGTTGATAGACTTCTCGGTCTTCTGCGCTGTCTCTTGTTGTCCTCGCTGCGCTCGGATTGGGCTTCCTTGCACACAACCATAGAACCTACTGGACGGTTCAAGCTGTGATCGCGCTGACGCTTCGGATCTTGTCGATCGAACTCTTCCTCACCACCGTCGCCACCACTGGGAGCCTTCAACGAGGATCACTGTCGTGCCACTGTCTTATTCACTCTACACATCTGTAGAAGACGCCACATCCCTGCCTGCACCATGTCAGTCATGCGTGCCACAGGCGGCACAGATCTACAGTGTGGCCTGCGTGTAAGTACAGCTGCAAGGTCAGGATCAGTCCAGCAATGCAGCTTCTCAAGTCGACATCTACAAAACAACCGTAGAACTTGTCAGCAGCTGCCTCAACTTCGTGCGACTTTGGAGGGTGTGACTAGCACCGCGTGCCATGAGGCATCATGTTGCTCACATTGCTCACATACATTCAAACAACTCGCACTCAAAAGCGCTGAATCTCATCCACAGGAGGACTGCTAACATCACCCAAAAACGAGCCCCGAAACACGAAAGCACGTGTTCACAATGTCTGTCTTGATCGGTACTGTGCCCACTCCTCCACACTTTCGGAGGCGATGTCGGCTTCACGGGGCGAGGTCTTGATTGGGTTGTAGCCGTGTGGGCTTCCTGGCAGACATGCTTCAAGAGGAAATGACGTAGACAGGCCACATGCCTAAACAATCATGCGATGATGGTGCCAGCTGTTATGCTGAATCAGTTCGTTGCCAACCCTGGACTTTAGTCAGACTGCGCACGCCTCTGGGATAGCTTCGGCATCCGGTTCGGAGCCTCCGTCCACGTCCTTCGTGCTGCAGGATGACCCTCTGCTGAAGCAGCAGTTTAACGCGACCAAGCTCTGACTTTGTGTGTCTGGCCTGCGTTGCATGTTCGTATCTGATGTGTTGAGCGTGGCCGGTGTCCTCGTTCTGGGGTTCCTCCGGCTCCGCCGGAACGAAGAACGCGGATGAGAAACTCTCTGGATCCTCTGCCATGTCAGCGAAGCCCATGAATGCCCATGCAGCGCAGCAAAGTCCTTGATGCAGTCCCAGGAGATCCATGACGAGGACTCAGGATCCTCTTCTACTTGTACCTTAGACAGGAATCAAGACAAGTAAGGGCGCCGGCCAATGCAAGCATCGCTATCTCGAGGCAGTGCAGAGCAAAGCAGCATGGAGCTGTAAGACGGGGAATGCCACACGCTGCCAGCTTGTTTCAGTGGACATCATACGACCATGAAGTGCCGTGCAGCTGCTTCCGGCCGCATGTAGACCTGCGGTACGACCTCGACTGAAGCGAGGTCTTCGTCAAGGGCGGGTTCGCCGCACAGCAGCTTTGGCGTTGGAGCGCCTTGCCACGACATGATGTCTGTCTGCTGCAGTTCGAGAATACCCTTTTCCTGGACTTAAAACAGAATTCATGAGCCGCCAGTGCAAGCCTCGACCTTCGATGGCAAGACGAGCTCGGGGCTCTGCAATCCCGCTGTAGGGCAACGCCATCGCTGACAGTGCCTACGGCACCGCAAGCTGGAAGAGGAAAGACCGAAGACCATCTCAGATCTGACTCTGTCGTGCCTGCACTGGCGCATGCTTGTTGCAGGGAAGAGCCACGCAGGATGACTGGCTCAAGCTGTCATTCCTCGCACAGACGGTCATGAATGAAAACTGCAGCTGTGCAGAAAACTGCCTATTCCTCTCACTGACCATTGAATCGTAAACGAACACTGCAAGAACGCCGCTGACTGAAGTGCTGCTGTGATGCAAGAGCTCCGAAGCTTCTGGAGGCATGCCGGCGGCGTCCATCGCAAGTGAGCTCATAGCCAACCTGATCAGAGGCAACACGTAATGCAGGACTCGGACTGCACGCTCTGGCGTTCTTGACTTCCCCTGCTTGAGGGCCAAGATGCTCGAAGTTGCTCGGCACCAGAGAGGTGGATACCTGCATCTGCAGTCGAGGAATCCGAACCTCACTGCCGCTACCAGTAGTACACATGAGACACGGCCCGTCCTGGAGAAAATCGAGTAGGGCTCCAGAGCTGCTTCCAGTGATC